CTTCTTGACCGCTGCCCGTAACACCATACCCCCAACTGCTCCCCCCATCGCTCCCCCATACTTTTCACTTAGTGCCCAATCTCAACTTCACAAACTTCCTAAGTCAACTTTGCTCTACTCGTCTTGTACTTCATTTTCATCTTAATAACTTATCCGACCTAATTTTTTTTAAAACCACAAGAAAATCGGCTAAGATATTGAACATTTTCCTTTCATAGTAATCATCTCGACCATTCTCTTGTTTATGTTTATCCATCCTCGCGCTTCAACTATTTTTCCACTGCTTCAACAATTCTGCCGCCACACTTTTGGGGGGACCACTACTTCTTCCGCCACACCTTCACCTTGCTGAGAGATCTCAAAAGAGTTCAACTTCGCATTGCAATCAACAATGCACACATTTCGTTCGGGGAAGATGCTTTTATTTTGTTTTATTTGCTACTAGGCATTACTCTACCAACGCGGAAGCAATATAACTACACTCGCACATATATTGATGTAGCCAGTCTAATCATCTTCACAACAGCCCAACATAACTCAATTCTCTGCCTTTGCCATCACCCCTAACAGTCGACACTAGTCCAACAGCTAACGAAACACTACTGCATTAGCAATCCAGGAGTCAATGCACCGTAGTCCAATGGCTGAGGTAATCCACCGGTGTTAGCAAAGCTTCGTGCTCCTGTTATCCCAGGACGTTGAGCATGTCGCGTACGGATACCGAGCTCGAAATGTTGTGCCGCCTACACCGCGCATTACGTATGCGTCAACATCCAACGCTGGCATGGATTAAGCAAACGGAGATTACCTATGCCAGCCAATTGTGTTAGCAACAGTTATCTTACAATCAAGACTCTACGAACTGAAGCTGTATCCTTTGAATTAAAAGATCGTACCTTTGCCCCCTTGCCGCTTACTGGTGTCAGCGTAAAATCATGTCTGTAACGATATTAAAAAAAGGGCGCTGTTCATCCTTACTCTCAAATATACGGTATGCATCGCTTAGGCAGAAGATCGATTGATAAAAGCTTCATCGACTATGTCGTTAACAGCAGTGTCTCGCTATTGGTCACAACAACGAGTTTGATCCAGGATCTTTGCTCGAATTGTACACGAATTAAAGTACAAGCGTAATTAATCTTAACCTGCCTTTTCAGAACAACATTGAACTGCTTACCATCCGGACAATTGCAACGCGGCCGCACATTCGGTTAACATTTAAGAGAGAAGATCATTGAGAATTACTGTAGTAACCCACAATGCTAGCAATGAGTTTTCGATTGACGGACAGAATCTTGCCTAGCCTATGTAAAAGAAGAAATTATATACACCTTTCCAGCAAAGTTACATATTTACCGATGGTAATTATACCTTTGATCTTGTTTGCAGCTGATATGCTTGCCAGAAAAAAAATCATTTACCGAGCTCAGCAATAATGCTAGTGAAACCCAATCGGATAGAAATATAGAGCGACATGTACCGTATGATATCCATCAGCCTTCTTGCATCTGATTAGGCCTGATGACCTTGCTATGCAGCTATGGATAGTGACATTGATTTCACACATCGGCACACGCTTCACGACCATGTAAGTTTTTTCCTCTTCCCTGATCGTGTCCAGTGAGGTCGGTCGACGGGATTTCCTGGTTGACAGCTGCTGTGGTCGTTGAAGGGCTACTTTGCCTGTGAGATTCTGGATAGGGAACACCATTAAATGTGGTTAACAGGCCTGGAGTGATAGGACGTTTTAAGGCGTATCAAAAGTGTTTTAAAAATGTTACCTTTAAGGCAGTTGTGAAACACAGGCTACAAATTGCTACGTTACGATGGATTCATTTTCGCGCAGACCGACGATGAGTGCATTAACAAAGGTAGATTGCGAGTGGAGATCCGTGCTAATCTTAACGAGTAAGTAGTACTTATTAGTTGGCTTCCTTTTGGAACATTTGTTCAAAGTACGTTGTACCCTCATTTTAAGTCGTAGCGTACCTTTTCTTGGATCGCTTATTTTTTCTCGTTGCTTGACCAACAGAGCAGCTTCTAGCATATAATTACTCACTGAGTCCATTTGCCACGGCGGCCGGAATCCGATCGTATCTTAAGCAGGCAAACTTGAGGATGAGGGTTCAAAGATAGCATACTTGTAGTTGCTAGATGTAATATATGATCCACACTTCGTGAGAGGGCTTGTTATAGTTATCCGGCTAAGTATAAAGTTGGAAGGCTTGGTGCAAATGCTTAGAAGAGATGGTGTTTTCTTTTCGTGTTCTTGGCTTTGGTTTTGCGCATTCATTTTTCTTGAACCTTGAGCTTCTGATTTGACTCCATGTGTTCGTGTTTCTTCCTATTCCGTGTGTGTGTGTCATACTAATATGATGCCTATAGAACTTCAATTAAAATCGATTATATATGGGCGCTGTATTTTCTTTTCACAATCAACAACCTGATTATCAAAGCGTTACCTATCCGACAGTCGGCTAGCTTGTTGTCGGCATGGATTTAACTTTCTTCGTCATATTCAAAAAGTGTAAAGTGGCACAAGTTTCTGCAAGCTGTGTAAGGACTTGACAGGGCATGACTTTGTTTTGTAGTTTGTCTGCAGGTATTACTAGAGGGCTATTTTTGTTTAAAAAAAATAAAAGAACATTCGATGGTTATACCAGTGCTTTTCGCAAGAAAACGAATGTGAAAGAAAAGGAAAATTTGCATACACTCTACCTTCGTCTATCTAGCATCAACCTTGTATATAAAGCAATGAGTCATGTAGCATCTCTTGGGCCAGCGCTTTGAGTACGACATTGCCCTTCATCCGTTTTGCTTAGCCTATTGTTTGTCATCCCAAACTAACTGCTATCAGCGACCATGAGCTCAGCGTTTTTTTTGCTCCTATGAAGCTGGTATTCTTGTGCATACGTCAACTGATCAGATCCATGTCATCCATAAGTCCTGGTTACATAAGGCCTTCCATGATGTTGGCGTATCAAAGCCTACTATAGTCCTACAAATGTGAGATAAAGTTTGAGAAGAGAAGAGAAAGGTACGTGCATGTACTTTATAGCAGAGCAAAAAATAAACGGTGATCTTACCAAACAAAATACTTCTGGAATGATCCTCTTATAAAACAGCCAGACCTCCTTTGATTGAAGAAAATAATGTTACCCATACAGTTGCAGCGTATCTCTCCTAGCATATATATGTCGCCCAAGACCAGTTTGCCAAATTGATGCCGTGACGGCGCGCGATCAGCTCTGACAGCTACACCATGTTTTGAGAGAATTGGGCCAGTCCATTCAATCCGATCCGATCTTTTTTCGTTAAAAAAAAGAAAAAAAACCAGAAGACCTTGTTACCCGGTGGCTTGAAGTAACGCATAGTATATAGGAAAGACCGTTGTTTAAAGAACCTCCTGATGTGCTTTCAATATGTCTTCAATCCATATGTGTCTGGTACAGTTGTTATCGGTGATGCGATTTTAATGCGTGAGCATATGTTTGGTAGGAGAAAAGACAGAGGCTGAAGCATACAATTAAAAATAATGTCATCAGTAAAACAGAGTGAATACATCAAAACACTAGTCCCGGGCGTGCCACTTCCCTAATATATTTGAACTATCTTCATATCTCTCATACCTTATGATATCAATGGCGCAGTAGTAGATATCATGAGAAATGGCTACAGGTAGCATCAAGTAAATGGCGCCCCTTTCGACAAGAACCGCTGTCCCAAGGCTTGGCAAGGAACCATTCGCCTAAAGGAATAATGACTGTGGTTGGCAGCAAGTTTTAGTAACATAGAGTACTGCCCGTTAAGAATTTGATGACATAGTACTCATTAACGGATCCTGTAAAATACCAGTAATCGTTAGTAATCGTAGTTAAGGCCATAGACAAAGGTGGAGCATTCCCGTTTCGATTAAAAGCATTCCAGCAGCTTCTTGGTCATCGTTGTCGTAGACAATGGTATTTTCGTACGATTCAATCCAATCAACCAAAGCTCCAAAGCAACAATAGCAGCAGAGCAGTATTTATAATCTATGGTAGACAACAGTAAGGTACAAGAAATTCATATGGCTGCTTTGCTCAAAGTACCAAAGACAATTACACAGCGAGCACCACGACAACAGAATCATACTAATTTATCAACAGATGAGTATCACCACGGAGAAAGATCGTTTGGGGCTAGAAATTAAAAGCAAAAGATGGTGACAGCTTTTATTCATGCGCCTTACTTTGACAAATCTGTAAGCAGTCGCTTATCCTTTGTTGCTGTGGTACTACGCTAGAATGGCACCGTGACTTCAACAATAATCTATGCTAAACAATTTGTTCTTTACCTCCAAGTATAAATGTTCCATTTGGGCACACGGATTCTGGGTTAGCAAGAAGTTCGTCATAAAAAGCAGTAGCTTGAAAGGCTCTTGAATCGTGATTTCGGCCTATAGTATGAAAGTCGTATATATTAGCCAAGAAAGCAACTAAAATAATTACATTAACATGTCATGCCTTACCGCTCTGCCCTGCATGGATGTAGGTGAACCGCTTTTCTGAATCACAAATGGCAACCATGTTCAACGAGTAGTTGTTTTTTCTGTCGACAAAGCGATCACCACTGTCACCTGGTTTGAAGATTCGAACGAGCTTCCCATCTAAAGCACCGAGTACATTTGGGAGGTGAGTAGGTCCGACTTCAAATGTTGGTCCAAGCTCTCCATATTGAAACCCTTCAACGGTTGCCTTGATAGCTTCATTTCCGGTCGGCCATCGGATTATACCACCTTGACAGTCGGCCATTGCCTCCAAAAATCGCTTGGTAAAATTTCTGTAGGATCCATGCGATGTACCAAGCAAAGTTTCGGCCATACGGTAACTGACATGAGCATTGGCAAATCTCCAGATTATCAGGCCGACTTGGATGAACACAGGTGTGGCGTTTTGTGCCGTAAATTGATACAATCGATGTTGTGACAACATATTTACGAGGGCATTGAAAGTGGCTGGTTTCATACGATAATGCGATTTGAATCCACCTGGTCCATTTGTGTCCGGAAGAGCTGGATGCGTAACTTCCCAGTATGTCGTATTTTTAACACAATTGACGTGTTGCATAACACGGAAATGTAGCGGTGATGATACAGCTGACATGATATGATCAAGAGAAAAAATGGTTCGGTACATTGGCAAAACAGTGTTGATCATGGAGAGCTGGTTGATATCGTCGTCGTCATTATTCGCAAGAAAAAAAAAGACGTAGCCTTCAATCGAAAGAAGTAGGGTGCTGATGATCGTTCTTCTGTGGACAATTTCTTGCTGGGAATCCATAATAATAGACAGAAGGTAGGATGAAGGATATAAAAAGTGTGAATAAAAGTTGAGTGGAACAAAACAAGAAGTATTACTCAAAGTCGCTGCATATACAGAGATATTTTCTTATCGGTAATGTTCTTATCATTTCATGATATGTAGAACTATGGAATCGGTTCTGTCTAAACAACAAGTTGGTATATCTAATGTTATGTAAAATGGTATACTTGACCCTCCCGGGTATTTCTTGATAGATAATTAAATATCAAAGTAATATTTTCTCAGTCGCATGGACGTGTAACAAAAGATCCGAGCCGATATCCTTTTCGGGAGTGCTGTGTCAACCAAGGGGTCGACACGGCAGTTTTGCTCTTCATTTCCTTATCAAGGATATGACAAAAAAATCCTGTGTTCATTGTATCACTTTTATTCGACTCCCGAACAACGCGCTATTACTATTTCTAGGGTGTGTCGACGTTGACTCTTGCTTGAGAGTACCCTTATATGCAATTACAATTATAACTATCACAGTGGGGTGGTGCAAATAGCCGTTCCCGCAAATAGCCATTCCCCATTTTCTCCACAGTAGCATCATGCACCAGCATATTAAACTCTAGTGCGCAGTCGTACTTATTTCACCTGAACTTGCACCTTGAGCTGTTACCTACTCCTCTTCCATTCTCCATCGAGTGATGCTGTAACGTGGAATATTGAGCAAAACAATTTAACAGAGCTTGAGCTCAACACCCACGACCCATCATTCAACGCAATCTTGGATACAGGTATTATTATTGTCAACCAGTGATTACGAAATACATACACACAATTACGCGTCTTGTAAGAACTAGACAGTGCAACAGTAGTTGATATTCTTAAACCATTTCATTTCAGACCAAAGTGTCGTATCTAGTTTGTGGATGGTACTCAATTTCCTACTCTGTTACGGTTGTTATTGAGAGCGGGGATTGGAAGATATATCACCAATAGAAGTCTGTAGTCGAACTGCCGATTTATTTCAACAAAACTGAAGGTCTTTTATACTATTTTCTTTGATACAATGGAGGGCTTTGTGTTGGTAATGTGATAGTAATATGACCATAAAGAAGGGGTAAAGATGGAGCTTAATATATGTTTATAAGATATGATTTCATTGTTGATATTGTTGAAGGTGAGGAGGTATCGATGCCTTGTATAAGTTGTGTGAGTGTATGGCTGTTGCGTGACTAGCGTCTGCTACATACTCCAGAAAGAACCGAATAAACAAATATTGAAACCACTGATGCAGTTGAGTATATTACGCCAGGTAAGAATCAAAGTACATTGGTTGAATCGAACAGTAAAAGTAATTGCAGAACACACTGCTTATGTTACTGTTTATATTATAATAGGCACACCATTGTTCTCGTCCTCGGTTGGAGATGCTTCTGCCTCTTCTACTACTGCCGCTGAGGCCCAAACAGAAGAAGAGCCAACAGCAACAGCAGCAACAACGGATTATGTTGGCCGGAAGCGCGCTCGCCAGGCCGGAGTTCCGGGACATACAGACGGCTCTAATGACAATGGCGCCAATACGAACCAGTCAGAATACCAAAGCACAGGCAAGTCAGGGCATCGATATTATGAAATGTTTTCTGCAACTACGGTGATAGTTACATACTACATTTACTACGTCTCTTTTTGTAATGCTTAGCGTGTTTATTGGAGGGAAAAACCCCAAAACGAATGGAAACAGAAGAATTAGCGACATTTTCTTCGAATCAGCAAGGGAAAAACCAACTAGCAGCTCAAGAGACAGCGTGTGCACCTGTGGTGAAAGAAGAACACATTGAGAATGTTTGTGAACGTAAGTCTAGAAGAGGTTTATTTGGGTCGAAAAGGATAAAGTCATTATGTGATGCTTATCCTGATATAATACCATCACAGAATACCACCACAGGCCAATCTTCCATCGAGTCACCACGGGCGTCACAAGAAACACACCCTACTGCAATCGATACCTCAGGAACTCAACCAAGTGCGCAACGGGCACTAAACGAACAATTATCAACATCAGCATCGCTGCCACTAGTCAGAAAGCGTGCTCGAGAGAATGACAGTGGCGTAACTGAACAGCCCATCACAGGTAATGCTAGACAACAAATGACTTCTAACTCTGGAACACTCATGAACGTAGATGCATACTAACAAGAGCATCCCCTTTGTGGCTATCACTAGAGTTGCCACCGGAGCAGTCATCGCCAAAGCATACAAAAACAAATGAAGTTGTAGCATCATCTTTGATGCACCAAGAACAACGGCAGCAGCAACAACAACCGCAAACAGCAGCGTCTTCCGCTTTGTCGTCAAGACACCAAGGAGGTCAGCAGCAACCACCACAGCAGCGTCGTCAGCTTTGTCATCAAGACACCAAGGAGAACAGCAGCAACCACTACCACAACAGCAAAGTCGAGCCTCTGTAGGACCTTCGTCACAACTTCAGGAGCAACAAACACGTCAACAAAGTAAAACCTCTACAGGATCATCAAGACATCAAGAACAACAGCAGCGGCAAGAGCTACAAGCGCAAGCGCCGGTCCGGGTTCCCGAAGGAGGTAAGACTAAAGCATTTCGGTGATAATTGAGTACTTTATTTTATGTGATCGTTTGCTTATTACAGATTGATCTATATATGCTTATAGTCGAAGGTGACCTGCTTTGCCCCTACAGAGGTTGCAATAAAAGCTATAGCAATGCTCAGGAAAAAAGATTCTTCAGCCACCTCAAGAAAAGACATGATGCCGTTATTCGCGTATTCACCACCGCAATGAAGAACAATTTGAGAAAATTTACAAGAATCGATTCGGAACAGAGCTGAACTTCCAACGGTACCAATATAATACTAACTTAGTGTCTCTCTCTCTCTCTCTCTGTGTGTGTGTGTGTGTGTGTGTGTGCTATTTTGAGAGCGACAAACGCCTCTGACAGTATACATCTTTGTATATTATCATTGATGCAAACGTAGATACGCAGGTATACCAAGAACTATATTGGATGAAGGAGATCCAATCACAGTAGAAGCAGTTCCCATTCCCAGAGCACGCACAGGTCGACGCGCAGGTATCATAACATTCACATGCCACTGAGCTCTTGCTTCTATTGAGGAACCCGCTATACTAACCGCTAATCTCCGTGCGTTTCTTTGTACCTCCATATGACATCTAGTACGAGGCGACAATACTATCAGTATAACTTTAACTTTTTAGTCCTCTGTAAAAAAACCCATCTCATCATAAGCGAACCGACAACAGCTTCAAGTAGTTAACATAGGCTTAAAAAGCATCTGGTGAGTGTTTGATAATTACATAGGACTTAGGATTAGCAGATCTCTAAGAATACCTATCATCTATACTGTAGCTGTTATATCTCCCTTTCTCCTATTTCTTCTATTCGTACATAATATACATTTGCTTCAAAAAATAAATAGCTGAATGCTGCAATTGGCAAACTTTATACAGCTGCCTACTTTTTCTTTTTTCTTTAAAAAGATAACCCAATGAATTGTATACCTAGTGCTCAAGACAGCATGTAGTGCAAATCAAAGCAATACAGAGTTGAAGAGAAATTAGCGATCATACATACTAAATCTTTGCTCGTGATAGGCGTTCGGTCGTTTCTGCTATTATGTAGGTTCAAATAAATTGTTGTACTTTGTCAAAACTTCTGTTTCGATCAATTCCTTCTTGTTAACAAACTTTGGAAAGCTGCGGAGTAAAGAATAGAGGATGTCAAAAGTGAGTCAGATTGACGCATAATGCCCGTGTTACATAACACCTTGTAACATCGTGCAGCAGAGCTTTTCTTAGATTGTGCCGAGGAACATTTATTGTCAGATTAGACTAATTATTGAAAAGAATTTCATCTAATGCTTCCTTGACTTCATCGCTGATGTCTTGAATAGGCGGCGGACAGTAACCAATGGGCACGTTCTGCTTGCGCAGCAAATATTTGATGCTTTGGATCATACCAGCCTTTTCCAAAAGTTCAATTCCGGGAGCAATGGTTTCCATGATCTGTTTAGCTTGCTCCGTTTCCTTTCTCAGCAAATGGCCAACGATCGCCTTAACCTGGTCCGGGTAAACATTGCCAGCAATCGACGTGATGCCTGTATATCCGTACCTTGTGAAAGCATCAATGATCGATGAGTCCGAACCAGTAAAGAAGCTGTACTGTCCAAGAGAGTTTGCGGTAGCTTGATCGTTCGACAACAGAGCCTTCATCTTGTTGACATTCTCGGGAGAACCGGCCTCCTTTTGACCAAAGACATTGTCGACCGATTTGGCGATCCGTGCAAACGTTTCTGGTTCCACAGTGAATCCATTGCGTCGAGGATTGTTGTATAAGAAGCAGGGTAAGTCTTTGGCGGCCGACGCAACTTGCTCAACATACACTTGCGCTTCTTGTTGGGATGGAATGCGGTAAGGTGGAAAACCGAGCATGATGCCCGAAAATCCGGCTTCCTTTGCGGCCTTGGCCAACTCTTTCGCATCGTTCGTTTTGAACGCAGCAACACCCGCGTAAAGTTGACAGTTGGTGCCTGCTGCTGCTTGAGCAACCAGACTGTACAGTTGCTTGCGTTCTGCAATCGTCATGCAATGCTGCTCACCAGTCGTTCCGCTGACAAGCAAACCAGGAATGTTGTGATCCAGGTAATACTTTACGACCTGAGGTACCGATGCCACGTCAAGATTGCCGGCTTTGGTGAATGGAGTCACCATGGCGACCGAGTATGGAATGAATCGCTGTGCCATTATGGTTGTCATTTAAGTTGTGTCTTAAAGAAGTTCTCAAAGCATTTAATGCTCGCAGGGAGGAGCCTTTTGTAGTCGGCCTTTGGCTGACTAACAAATAACCAACCAACCGTGGTAATATGTTTCGCACGCATAACTTTGTTTCCAATCCGAACTGTCGGAACCTCTTTTATCCCCCCCCCTCGCCTTGTCAAAATGAATGCGCGAAAAAGCATAGAAATAGGCCAACGTATTAATACACTCGTACAAAGTCTACAGAAAACCCCATTACGAAAAGCGGTTTGCCCTACACGATTACGACCTGGATCTTTGGAAGCTAAAGTGGCTGCTAGCCCTTATGGTAATCATACAGATTGATAGTAAAAGAAACGTGTCCAAAAGTGCATTTATGTTTTGAGATCTAACACGCCTTTTTTTTTTTTAATCATGAAAAAATGAAGCTTCCATTCTCGCATCACCGTTACGACATTGTGCATTCCACCAACGCCGTTTTCCATCACGTATGTAAAAAGGGGACGCTTCTTTGAAAAGTTTTGTCTTTTAACACATGTGCTGATCCGAATTATATACAGAAATGCTTTTGCGGTTTGGATTGGAACGCAGCAGCAAATCAGCCATATACCCTTTTCCCGAAGTAGGACTTAAAAAACCAGCAGGGCTAAACGACAGTAAACGTTACGTCCGTTTACGACGTCCAGTACTTGATGTGGTTGCACGAAACGGTAAATATATCTATATATATGTATATGCATCTTAAATCGCTTTACTTTTTCCGCATAGAAAAGCAGACAGAGCTTTACTGACTCTACTGCCGGCAGTATCAGGATCCAGAGCAATATTTCGGGGCCAAACAGAGTTTAAAAAGGACACAATGGAAGAAATCGGTCGTGAGCTGATCGATTATGTATATGCACACTACGACTCTTCCAATTTCATACGTTTGAAGCAGCTTTTACCAGGCGAATGGTGTAAAGATCCATCTTTCAGCAATGACACGACAACATCCACACAATTCCAATGTATCCTCCTTCTATCAACGCCATCATCAAACGACGATGAGGGTTTTTGTCAAATGGATCACCATATCAATGGAATGACGCCTAGTATACCTTGCTATGATATATCCAAGCTCTGGAAAGAGAAGAGCGATCCTTCACATCCCATGCCCGAAAATGGCAGCAAAGACGAGATAATCGCATATGGTGTACCAAAACATGCATCTACTGTAAAATTGGCTGTAGCGTTATGGCGCTGTCGCGCGTTTTTTTCATGAAAGATTATATAAATATAAATTTTATATCCGGATGGAACCCCCATGTACTTCCTTTTTACAACAACTATTACAACAAGCGCCTTGACACGTGTTGGAGACCGTAACCGTTTTCTCAAAATATAAAAGTGCAAGTTCCTTTACAAATAATGCGTCGTCCGTGGGATGTAACCCTAGTTGGATCATATCGTGTGCTGTCAACATGATTGGATCGTCTGGGGCATCACCGTTCTCGTTCATGGATAATAAATTATCCAATGCTACAAGAATCTGATACGACAGAGTATGGAAAAAGCTAAAAGGTAATTGCTGGACACGTCAATATGCAATTCCCACTCTAATCATGTTGTCATGACTGAATACGAAAACAAAGCTTACCCAACAAGTGCGGCTGTCAATTTCTCATGAACTCCCCATTTTCTGGTGTCCGGCACCGGTTGTTGTTGTTCACCGCCTGTAGCAGTACGTCGCTGTTGCTGATGCGATTCTGAGGATACCCGTGCAGCCACCACGTCAAAAACATCGTTATTATTGATCTCCATAGCATCTCGTTCCTCATCTGCCAAATCCTCTCCGTTGCCTAGCAGTAGCGCCTCTTGTTCTTCTGGATCCATGGGAACGTTGTCCTGCAACCCTTTCTTTATGCGGCTGTGCTTTGATGCTGCTGCTGCATTTCCTGCGAATATTCGCTGCCACGAAGTTGATGAGGACGGAGATGGTGCTGATGCTTTTTGCTGTTGCTGTTGCTGTTGCTGTAGCTGGTGCGGTCGATAATACCACAATATCACCTGAAACATGGCTGTACTCACCGCATCCCGACAGTTCGCTTTACTTTCCAATGCATTATCCAGCTGATCATTTAGATTATCGTCGTCTTGCGCAAATCCCATACCCCGCGCTGTATCGAAAATCTGTCGGATGGCCGAGCGGAACCGATGGAAATCGGCTGCATTGTGGTGATGTGGTAATTTCGACGTTGATTCAATCCGCGGAGTTCCTTTAGCAAATGCGTACCATGATCGTGTATCGTTGTCTTTGTTGGACAAATCGACTACTAGATCATAGAGCTCTGTTTTGCTTTCGAAAATGGTATCAGAGGTGCCTGGAGAGTTTTATAAGAATCATTTGAAAAAAACTTGCGTCTTGTTACATATTCATTACATTGGAAAAGCAATATTACTCACATGCTACATAGCCATCAGCAAAATCGTATAGGTCGGCTATATCGTTCACGCCAACAGCATATTTAGGATACAGTTTTCGATGCGATTTGAACATGAATGACTTTGGCAATGCACCAAGAAGAAATGTGTTATATACTGAATGCGTATACCAACGTCAGTAATTTTTACATACCATCCCTGTCTTCGATCATCTGCACACACACTCCGATATCACTCTTTTATTTTCCCCAAAGAAAAATCCAAGAATAAAACATTACCATATCCACAAGCTCTTTGCAGAGGAGGCGTGGTGAGAAACAGAATACGTTTCTTCAGCAAGGCAGCTTTCCAGAGTACAAAGATTTGTGGTCCAAACTGTGCAACAAAGAACGGGAACGCGTCGAGACGAGGTACAGTCTCCAATGGTGGCCGCGGTTCGACAGATATCAGTTGATCAAAAACGGGTGTAAATGACTGCGTCGGGTTGTAGTACAAAAGTGTCGCAGGTCGGAACGCTTTCAAATCCGATGCGGATGGATCCCATAGTGATGAAGAAGATGCCAAATCTTCTCGATGTTGTAATCGATGCTTTTCGAAATAGTGGTGCAAGTGTTTGCACATATACTCGTTGTCGTCCGTCTCAAAATCAAACGATCTATACGTACATTCAGTTGATATATTCAGTTTTTTTTTCTCTTACATTTCTGTATGTACTTGATCTTGTCTTATCGGCTCCTTACTTTGCTAGCACATTAAGCGCATGCCCATGGATCCATACTTTAGCATTTGGACCCGTACTTGCATTTGGCTCGACGATCACGCCCACGGCCCGCATACATGCTCCTCGTTGCCCTTCTTCCGCATTGTCCACATTGCGAAATATGCTCACACCAAAATACGGGGGTTTCGAAAAGAGTCTATCACGGTGTTATTATTTATCAATGGTGGTAGGGGATCCATAGGAATAAAAGAAAAAGTAAACCTACATGGTATCTGAGCGAACACGATGATGTCCACTACATATTGCTTGATATTCAATACCATCCAAATCGGATTCTACAGAGCAATATACAACCCTCACTGTATTAGCAAACAAATAAGTCGTGCCTCTCATATTCCCTGTTCGTTACCTGGAGGGTGCTGCCACTCAATCGTATTACCGTGGATCACGTCGAACCGTACAACAAAAACAGCAGCAACATTATTTACTGCATTAGCAGCTAGTTCCTCTGTAGCAATCTCGGAAAGTGGCGGCTGTTGTTCTTGGTCCACTGAGTTCGCGGGTTCTGTCGCTGGTGGTGCTGGAATCTTGCTTTGTGAAGAAGAGCTAGCAAAGGTTTTTAGCAACAACGCAGCATAAAGTTGTCGAAACCCCTCTTTTTTTTTATAAAGGTGTTGGGCCCTACCTTTCTGTCAATGGTATGGACGACACGTTGGCATCCGAAGAATCCATTGTAAATTTCGAAACGTGAAAAATAAAACGAAGGTTAAAAGTGCGGGTTTCGCTTCTTTCCTTTCTAAGCGATTCTGCATTGCAGCGAGCATGCTTAAAGAAAACTCAGCCGGTGGTGTTTCAAAGGTCAAATCAAGCCAATGTTTGAATACTGCATCTGAAGGATAACGTCGATTACGGATATTCATTTTAGTAGGTATAAAAGTTAGAAGCTTTGATAAGATAGAGATATCCTCTGTCGAGCTTCTTTATCTGTTATGTGAATGTTGTTGTCGAGAGGATCTTGGATATCAGTATATTAGCTCAATAACTGGAAAGACGCGAACAGCCGATTCGATTCTCAAATTGAACCTTTTTCGTTGGATAAGCGATTTAGTCCAGATTTCTGGGACAACAAGTTCTGCAAAGCAGCAGTGATGAACCTTTGTACTTTATATGAAAATGCTATGATCTAGCCACTGGTCATAATGTTATTACCATACAACAAATAGGACAACGGGTTGGAAATCTCCCCAAGCCGATGGTATAAATCTTCAATGATATCCATTCCATTTATTTCATCCACACACTATTTCAATCTATTTGTTGTTGCAAAAGCCAGAGCCTTACGGTTCTCTCAGGCACGTATACGTCGTTGAATTGAGCATTCCTGAGCAATATACCATATAAGCTTTTTCAGCATTCATAAAAAGAAAACGGTGGAGTGACTCACCAATAACAACTTGAATACGCAAGACGGTTTATTGGATTAAAAGCAACTGATACAAGATCGAAAATTATGGGCTTGAAAGCCTAGCAAACAAGAAGGGTTCGACCAGTACTTGGTATTTGATCGAGCATGATGGTTTTGCGGTAACAATTAACCAAGATAAAAAAATATTCGAAAGCTCATAGTCTCCCTCACCGTCTCTGCGACTGTCGTCGAGCCTCACAACGCTGTTTTATCGGTCTTTACAGTAGTCGGACGTCTTCCTCTGGCCCATTGAAGAAGGATCTGCGTAAACTTTGCGTCAACATGGATCCCTCTTTTACATCTCTTTTCATTTTCGGTATCGCGTCACAATACTACCGCAACGTGTCTGCTCCCAAATAAGTGACCGGCACGAAGGTTCGACGCACAATTTACCTAATGGCTGTATTCAACCCCACGTCATGGCTTTCCAGAGTGGTAACAGCATTGCTATTATCCAGCAAATGTTTCAAGCGAAACATAGAGTCCCTTTTTTCCAGACTGTCGGAAGCACATCGAAGAAACAACTCATAAATAATAGCAGGATCTACTTTTTATATGCTGCATGTTGTCGAGCAGCAATAACAGAGCTATTGTTTGCTGCGCGTAGTGTGTATGTGCACAAGTATACCATGTAACGGAAGATGTAGAGGTATCTACATATATTACATGATATATCATGCAACTCTCCATTAATAATCTGCCTATTTTTATTTGGGTCCAACGTCTGCTACTAACAATGCTAGTGTGCAACTGTCAAAATTTAAGTGTTAGAGGAGCGGGTAAGTACGACATTATAATAAGAATGCATATCAAGCAAGAGGACGACCAGTGCTTAACATAGAAAATGAAAGAGAGAGTCGTCATTTTTTGTATGATATGCGAGATTATGACTAAACTGACAAACCCCGCATGACTGGATGTTGGCTGGCCCGGCCGCCTGGCGCACGCTCGCATATGTAACATGATACAATGCATTTCTGAAGAAGGTACATTAGTATTATTGTACTGACTTTATTATTCGTGTACGGCAACCCGGTAATAGTAGCCAACGACAATCTAGTGAAAAACTCCTGTCACACTTTTTTGTTTTCCTTGAAGCTACTGTATATAGCGATTTCTACAGTGCGTATTTGAACAACTCTTGTATTTGATACATGAGTTCCGAATGGTAACTAACTAGAACACTTGTGTGCGATCACCGTGTTGTGTGATTATATGTAGACGTCCTATCCAAAGCATGACCGGCTATCATAGTAAGCCAAGTATTATGCCTAGTATTCTTTTTTTTTGTACATATGTACAGTATATCTATGGGCTTTACAATACTCGGGCTACAAAAATTCAGGTGTTTTGTTACTGAGGACTCTTGTCGCCTGCGTAGTTTCTATAGCTGGTTCGAACAAAATGCGGAAACCAATTATCACTCTAATGTTATCACCCTATAAAAACCCTCCAATGTACTGTATTTTCCAAATACGATATACATTACCATTCGTCATTTCGTATTAGTTATGCTCTTCGCTTACAGCGCTGTTCGACATTACTCGAGTATATTCCAAAGCGGGTGGATATCTTCCATACGTATCATACCGTCAAGTTAAAAGCTCGCTCAAGCCATTTAATAATAACAACTTTTTGTATAACGGTTGCACTTTCATTTGTAGCGCGTATGATGGTGGTTGAAGTAAAACCACTACGCGCGTGACAAAGATCCTGAGCATTGAGATGCCCGAATTTTATGTAGCCCGCATACTAACTCCCATATGCATATAACCTTGTACTGATTAAATAATTCATCTTTAAGTAGGAACCATAAATGATGCCATTCGTTGAGAAAACAAGAACGCTTTAATGCACTGATAGCTTTCTAATAAACGATACGTCCTAAAGATGGCTGACCATCACTGATCCCTGGAACTACTGTAACATACATGCATAGCGAGAACACATGCGTATATAACTTATTTACTGCGACACCGCTATTATTATTTTTGTTGTTTAGTGAAAGATTACTTGCGCGCTTACATACCGCACAATTACAGTACTGTATATTGATTACACAGCAATGAAGACGGAAATACTGTCTATGGCGCATACTGACGTGAACCATCATTTCTTGGCAAAGTTAAAAAATCCCGCAGTGCTTATATAACCACATGTATCTTGCATAATATCTATGGTATTATAACGCCCGTAATTGTATATCCTATCTTCTGATCGTGTGATGTAGAACTGACAGCATTCATGTGTACACACTACTAGAAGTATACATCTCGTTTTCGATTCCTTTTAATGACCCTGACGAAGTCTGGCATCTCTCTGTTTTCTAGCTAAGCTTCGAGTTGTATCGGAGCCCTGGGAAATGTACATAGTAAACTGGGGGTTTGCTAATCAACATATATTACGATTTCATTAATTCTTGACATGAAAGAATATATCTTCCGACCCTATTTCCATCGAATTTTTCTCGACGGTTCAAGTCAGTGTGCACCATAGTGCAGAGGCATGTTTTCGGTTCAATATTAGAATGAACGGCATACCACCTTATGTTCAAGTAGATATGTATGTACAATCCTCTCTCCTTCGTCGTTCATAAAATACGTGGCGTATAATAGCATATTTCCTAACTTGGACATAGAGAGCGCAGAATACAAAAGAAGAAACGGGCTGTTGTAGTGTAAAAGTTATAATGTATTTTCACCCCCCCCCCTTGTGTACATGTATGTACGACGAGGATTGAAGTGGGAAATCAGTGTAGATGTGAGACATAGCAAACGTAGTTTGTTGTATATGAGACTCTTTTAAGATAATATCGAATTCTCACAGCATAATAGTTTTCAATACTGTAATATTTTCGCTGCTATATACTATACTCATTGTGGCTCTCGTAATATGTATCTATACACCATGAAAGGATATAGTGTGCATGGTGCCGCCTCCACCTACCACAAAAATTGGTTGTACAGCATTGTCGAAGCAGCCGCGAGGAAGAGGGGGGGGGAGAGAGATGACATGATGTTAATGTTTACTTAATTTACCGCCTTCTTGATGCTTTTGCATAAAATTGCAGTTAAAACAACAAGCACCGCGTGTATACGAATGAATAGGCGGCGACACAGCAGCAACAGCAGGTACAACAATAGCAGCTATACAGGCAAAGCTGCTATGTCAAAACAAGAGACGTCATTATTTTTTGTCTCCTTAAAAAAACCGCGCATTGATTATCGCTGATATTACTCTGCTGATAGGGACAATCTTCAATAAAAGAACCAATGGTATGCAGCCCATTCCCTCTAACCCGTCTTCAAGCATTGACGGAAAACAGTAACAGCCGATAAACTGTTACACTACATTGGGAGGGGGGGACGAAGGTAAAAAGCAACTCAGAGCAATTAAGGGGTAGTACTTTTTGTTCTATTACTTAAACTGACCCGATTGAGCCCTCGGATTGACGTACCCACTATTACCTCTACTACAATAGTCGCATTGATAGAAACTAAGTGAAAAAAAAAAGAAGAGAAGAGGAACATCGCGATAGATGCAAGACATCCACAGCACCAATAAGGGCGGGCAATACGTAAGTATTAATGCGTATCACAAACAATGATACCACTACGCATAATAATAGAATGGCTTTTTGTTGACACATCGGGATATGCGTTCCGGATGAGATGATCCTCGCCTGTCCTTCCCTGCCTGTGGCCACCCCACGCCATACAAATCAGCAGCGCACATCTGTCCCCATAATATCATTCCGATCCGAAATTTTGAATAAAGTGACCTAAGCCTAATTCTCTCTATATGATTTTCATTTTAGGTTATATAAAAAAGAGGCTCGTCATCTACTGCTACCGGAAACCCTATACAAAAAAGAAAACGTAATAGAACCTGGGTTGCTATTATACACTGTAATCGCATCTGCTCTACAAACAAACAACAAACAAACAGATGACGACGATGATGATGATGACGGAAGAAGATGTTTTCAATGGAAACATATGTATATGAAGAACGGTGCTCGCCAAAAAGAAACAATACAGAGAAGGAAAAAGAGCAGCACAACAAAGATATAGATACATGTGTGTGTGTGTGTGTTTTGTAATGATATCTACTATGTCCTCTTCCCAGAGGGGTAAAAATGCACTGTCGTCTTCCGTCGTCGTCGGCAAACTCCCATCAAATGAGTCGACCGGGTACGTCCATCAATTAACACTACTATAGTGCACCGTTTTCCTCCCCCACACCACCCCGCACTTTATTGGTCGGGGTAATGCTGCTGCTGCTGCTGCTGCTAATTCGTCTCGATTGTAAGCATAATCTCCTTCGAGCTGAGATGAGATAGACGACATGCATGCAGTTCCAAAAGCAGTAACTAAATAAGTATCGTCGGTCTGTCTTGTCGTGTTGGTGACATGTCCCACTTTACCCACCGACACCTCAACACCCACCCCTTTTACATAAATCTGGGGTTTGGGCGCAATGGAATACGGTTGCAATAAGTCGTGTTAAAAAAGAGCGGGTACCATTCCCCCCCCACCCGCCCCCCGGCGGGTGCTCTCTCTCTCCTAATAGCCCACAGCAACACAACCCCACCAAAAGTACCCACTCACCTCCTTTTTTAGCGTAACCGCCAAAGCACCAGATGCTGTATGCTACTATAATGCGTGAGTTAGCTGGTAAAGGGACAGGCAGCAAGAGAGAGAAAGAGAGAGTCAGACGCTTGTGATGGCACTCTCGGCTAGTTTCCTTTTTCTTTTGCATATTTTTCTGTGCGTGTGGTGTGCGTGCCTAACTTTTTCTTCTTCTTCTTCTTCTTCTTTCTTCCTTTCTCTCTCTCACCCGCTCTACGCATAAGCGCCTTCTATTGTATTATAATTTTCCCTTCTTTTTTTCATATAAGAACAAGTCCTTTTCATTAAGCAGCCAAACAAAATAAAAAAAAACAACAACAACACCAACAACAACCCAATCTATGGCCAATATAACTATGCCGACCACCTCAACCGGTGGTGGAGGAGGTGGTCGTAACACGAACAATAGCAGCAGCCACGACAACACACCGATGATGAGCCTACCTCGACCCACGAACGATGATACGCAAGATCGACTGAACCAGATCGACGACCTCAAATACTTTCTAGCGACAGCGACGAACGACTGGGATCCTGAACGAGCTGTCAAATCGTTTGGCTTGCCCACCGGCGAAAGCGTATCGTGCGTGTTTTGGAACCACCTGTTCCACATTACCGGCACGGACATTGTCCGCTGTCTGGTGTTCCGCTTCCATGCATTTGGTCGACCGGTCTGCAACCTCAAAAAATTCGAAGAAGGTATCTTTTCAGACCTGCGTAACCTCAAGCCGGGCAGCGACGCCTGCTTGGAAGAGCCCAAATCCGAGTTTCTCGACATGCTTTACAAGAACAATTGCATTCGCACCCAAAAGAAACAAAAGGTCTTTTACTGGTTCTCTGTCCCGCACGACCGACTCTTCTTGGACGCGCTCGAACGTGATCTTAAGCGCGAAAAGATCGGTGTCGAGCCTACCAGCGTTGCCGTGGCTGATCCAGCCTCGTCCTTGTCCCTGGATTCTACCCACGAGCTGTTTGACCAGTTGCGCAAGTCAATGGCTCTCTCGGCTGCTGCTACTGCTCATGCGCTTGAAGACGAAGCTGTTGTGTCCGGTCGGTCGTCCACGAATACAGCATTGGCTGCTTCTAACAGTAGTCTTGGTGGTGTTAGTAGTAGCAACAACAACAGCAACAACGAGCATCAACGGCATGCCATTTTGTCTAATGCAGGTAAAGCCTGAATGTCAAAAACATACATACACACACACAAACCAGTTTGAAAGCAGGCACACAAGTTGGCAAACAAAAGAAAAGAATAAAAAATCTCTCCCACCCCCCCCCAAAGTATACCAACCGATGCCCTTCTTTTTGTATTCTTTTCTTCTGTTTTTTTTACCAAAACCATTTTTCCGTTATTATATATAAATTGCAAACCAACGAACCAACTTTTTGTTTAAATTACAGACGAACATGAGGACATGATGACTGACGAAGACGAATGGGCCATGGCCTGGACACCCACAGTTACGAGTGCTGCAGAAGTAGTAGCACCATTACCAGGAGCGAAAAGCGAAGGAGCACAAGGTGGAAGCAACCGGATAGCGTGGCAAACTTTTCCTGCTAGCCGGTCACACCAGCATCAGCAGCAGCAGCAAAGGTCCCGAAGCAACAGCAACGTGTCATCCTCATCCTCATCCATGCAGCAGGACATGGATGCGCCGATGGAGCCTATATCACACGCGATTGGCAGTCTGGACCTGGCTGAAGATAATAATCATGACGCTAGTGATACGACGTCAACGACAAAGCAACACCACTTGCGCAGAAAGTCAAAGGCGTTGATTGGCATGGTGTCGCTTTTTGAAGGTTCGGCCACGTACAAACAGCGCCGACGCCGAGCTGCATCTTTGTCATCCACAACGACAACAACAACATCATCCTCGTCGTCCCCGTCCATCGTGACTACTGCTCATGTTGTTGCTACCCATCATACGACTGCAGCAGCACCATCGTCCTCGTCGTCATCCGGAGGACCTATTCGGCATCATCATCGTTCAACATCCAATCCTGACCTAACAGCCCTGTTTGCCCCTCCTGCTGCTCACCACCACCACCACCACCATTACCATCATCCCCTCTTCAACGGTACACAACAACAGCAACAACAACAGCAGATACCGACGAGTAGTACAAGCAGCCCACTTGTTATCCAGAAACCTGCGCCACCGCTCTTGTCGACCACGTCGTACAACGCATTGGCCTCCGCAACAAATGCATTAGCAAGTCTGGGCGATGATGGATCAGACCCGAACCGGACATACACGTGTCCTCTTGGTTCCTGCGGCCGTCTGTTCAAACGGCTTGAGCATCTTAAACGCCATCTGCGCACGCATACCATGGAACGCCCGTACTTGTGCCAACAGTGTGGCAAACGGTTTTCGCGTTCGGACAATTTGGCCCAACACCGCAAGACGCATGATCGGTCTAGACTCCAGGCAACGCGTAATACCAAAGACGAAGATCGGCAGGATGGACCCGGAAGCAACAGCAGCCATAGTGGCAGTGGCGGTGGTGGTGGTCCTAATAATCGCAGCAAAAGTCGTGGTTATCAACAGGGTGGCAGTAGTGAAAACAGTAGTAATGGCGGCAGTAGTAATGATGGTGGTGGTGCAACAACGCCCCATTTTCTGCCTCAGCAGTGGGCACCGCATCTGGGCGTTCTCACCGCATCCAACAACAGTCTTTGTAGCAGCCGGAGCAGTACGATGAGTCCAATGCATGATCCAGACTGGGATTTCACCACCACAGTTGTCAAGCACGAACCTCTGCCCGACTGGAGTGCTGTTGCGTCTTCGTCCTCTTCACCAAGCTGGCAACAGCCCATGTTGATGTTGCCATCGTCGTCGTCGTCTACCTTGGAACATCACAGTAAACTTGCCATGATGCATTATCAGCAGCAACTGCAATACGGTCGCCACCATCATCATTATGGTCATGCATCCTCCTCTCCGATGATGTTGTCCTCGCTACAACAACAACAACAGCAGCAGCCCAGCTTTGTGCATAGCAACAGTAGCAGCAGTACAAGCAGCATCAGTGATAATTACTATCATTCGATGCCGTCAGCTTCGTCGTCCACCACCATGGCTGGATCAGCAGCAGCAGCAGCAGCAACAACGTCATCATCATCGTCATCGATGTATGCAGCGCTTCCTTCAGAAGATGCCTCATCGTTTCTTGTTGGCTCCACGGACTACAACAGCACAGATTTTGTCGAGTTTTACAACTCACACGCTCCTTTAATACCAACAACGTTCGTCAATGATTATTTGGTCGATCAGGTATAAAAATCATTTATATTTCTCTCTCTCTCTCTCTCTCTTTTGTTTATACAACGGATATACATACCACTTCTTCTTCCCCATAACTTTTCTATACATACATACACACATACATACACACATATGCTTTTCAACCTCCACCTTCTTTCTTTTTTGCAAACCACACACTCTCCCCAAGACATATATATACATATCATTGTCCCAAATTTTATTCGTTCCCTTTTACTTTTTATTTTATTATTTTTATTATTATTCTTGCCCATATATGATTTATATCTCTTCAATCTCTCTCTCTCTCTCTCTTCCTCTCCTCTCTGGCGCCAGCTTATTTATATGTTTAATTCTTTTTTTTTCAAAACCTTTTTATGCCTAACTTTTACTTTGTCTCTCGTATTGGCTAGCTTCATGATGAAACACTCTCTTTTTTTATTAATTAGTAAAAAAAAAATCTTTTGTTAAATATGTGTGTCTGTGTGTATGTATGATGTGTAATGGCAAACTGGGAACTTTTATAAACTGGTTGTCAAGGTACTTGTAAAAGTTGAGCTCAGTTGCTAGATTGTTGCTATTGGAAACACGTTGTTGGGTTGCTATTCAACGTCCTTGATGCTTGATCAGTCGTGCTGGGATAACTGCCCATACCAACGCGAATGAAACCCAGTCTTTGAAGGATCAAGGATGACGGGTACAGTAGTTTTTTTTTTTCCTTGTGTATATATCTAATCACAAGAACAAATAGAGTATATGCTATAGCGGGCAGTGCTTTATGGTTTGCATATAATGTACTGTGCTATTGCTACCTTGTTTGTACATACCATCACATGGTGAAAGATTCCTTTTTCCCCGCCCCAGCGCTTCCAAGAGCTTTGCAATTGCGCGCAGATCAGAAAGGATTTCTCAGAAAGGTCGGTCGGTGTGTGTCCGTGCCACCAGATCTCTTGGACCCGATACGACAAGGACCGAAAGATCTGTGATTTGTTTGAAAGATTAGTCTCCGAAGCCCAAAGAAAAAAAGAATTTTTTTATCAATCCGCCTGATCCTCTTTTTCTCTTTTACTTTTATTTCCTACTACACACCCACACACACATATCTCTGTGCAAAATGGATCGGGTATCTGTAGGTGGCAGCGAGAAGGATGTCGAACAGTCCGCCATTCCAAGGGATTATTATGAAGAACAGCTCGAACGAGAAAGGGAAAAACGGGAGTGGACCTGGCGAGGCAAAACCTGGAAAGAACGCTTCTCGTTTGTACGATCCTTGAACTTTTGGCGTGTGCTTATCCTTGGACAGAGTATGTTTTCCTTTCTTTTTAAAAGATGACACTTATTGGTTAACAACCTTTTTTCTTATTTAGTCCTCGCAATGTGTATTACCGGTACTGTGGTGACATCGAATAAACTCGGTAGCGATTACAACTTTAATGCACCTACAACGCAAACTTTCTTGGTCTAGTAAGTTTAATAAAAACTCGGGGGGGGGGGGAACATTTGGGAATACTAACAAGTTTCCAAACAATAGTGCTGTATTGGCCCTTATCTACAACCCCTATGCGATCTGGAAACGTGGCTGGAAAGCATGGCTTAACCAATTCTGGGAACGTGGCGTTTACTGTAAGTGTTTTCTTTATAGTGAAAGTGAATGGAATTGGTATTAAACAAAGGGGTTTCAATTATGATAGACTTCTTCCTCGGCTGGGTTGATGTCGAAGGCAATTACTTGGTCGTCAAGGCTTACGCATACACGGGCATGTTATCGGTCATGTTACTTGACTGCTGGAGTACGCCAACCTGTGTCATTCTGGCCCTGATCTTTTTCCGTGTACGCTACCGATGGTTACAATACGTGGGCATCTTTCTGGCCATGTGCGGCACGGGCATGGTTGTCGGCAGTGACGCCATGGATGGCCAGTCGTGGATGGCGAGTGATCCGGTCAGGGGTAACTTTTTTGTCATTATTGGCGCCACATTCTACGGTATTTCCAACACCAGTGTCGAATACTTGTCGCGCAAATATCCAATCTACGAAGTCACTGGCAGCTTCACATTGTTTGCCACTTTGATCAACCTGGTCCAGCTCATGATTCTGGAACGAGAAGAGTTCAGCACGTTTGTCAACAATGGCGAGGTTGTCGGCATGATCATTGCCTACACCGTCTGTATGGTGATTCTGTATTCGCTCGCGCCAGTCATGTTCCGTTGGGGAAGTGCCGTCTTGTATAACCTGTCGTTGATGACCAGTGATTTCTGGAGTTTGATTTTCGGTTTGGGTCTTTTTGGTTATACGGTTGGCTTCCTGTATCCCATCGCCTTTGTGGTCATCATCCTCGGTATTGCCTTGTACTATGTGTTCCCTACACCCGAGCCTGTCATCCAGATGCCAAACGATCCGACGCGAAGACACAAGCGATTCAAGTGGTTTGGCTTTTGGTATGATACCATAGAGCCTGTCGTTGGACCGGAGCATCAAAAGTCTGATGCGCACAGTGATCCTGCTACTATGGCCCGTACCGAACAAGTCGACTTGCCTCCTATCACGATGGTGGACAAGTCCTAGAGATCCATTACTGTCATATATGGCGACGAGGGGAAGTATCATCAAACCAACCAACCAACCAACCAAAAAAAAAACTCTTATTATTGCATACACTCATGAGGAACGTCCCCCGCATCTTTTATTTTCTATATATCACCCCTAATTCCTATTGATATCCCTATCACCGTCGTCATCACAGCCTATTTAATCATTGTAGTACTAGCATATTATTATTTATTCTTCCACTCCTCCCCTTCCCCCTTTATTTTGTCCTTTTATTCCGCGGTTGTAAATTCTAGACGACTGGCACTTGCGTCTTTGGTCAGTCTGTAAAGAAAAAGACGTTTCTCCCGCTCATATACATAACAGAGCTTCCCTCCCTCCCCGCTTATTCTGTGGATAATCCCACATTATAAGGCCCATTGTTGTTCCCACTCGGTGCTGCTGCTCGGTGCATGAGTGTGTGGAATAGCATGTGAACAAGTATGTAGTGTTTAGTAGGGGCAGTCTCAGCGCGCATGGATCATAGATAGTACCAGGTTTGTATTTGACATCAGCACAACAGAAAGGTAAAGTATTAATCGATCCATCTCACCCAACATCCCTCAGAAAGGCATACAGATACACAATAAAGTTTCAAAGAAACCTTCTTTAGGTTAGGTAACAATATACATGTCTATGAACACAAACAAACAAACTTTTTATTATTATTTTATTATTATTTACTCGTACAAGGCCTTCTTGGCGAATTGAGGCAAGATGAAAGCAGCCTTGTGGATGTCTGCGTTGTAGTAACGGCACAACTTGGCTTCCTGCTCGGGCGACCACTTGCGAAGAGGCTCACGGATGAGAGCCTCGGGGTCCTTGGAGCACATGATGTGGCCAATTTGACCGCTGGGGTAGGTGGGGATGCAAGTATAGCCGTATTCGACGCGGGGGTACAAGTCCTTGCAGAAATCAATGACCTTCTTGATCAAAGGCAAGTGGAGCCACATGCATTCACCCTGGGTGCTGAAAACACCCTTTTCGGTCAAGGCGTTCTTGAGCAACTGGAAGAATTCAGCGCCAAAGAGACCCTCGGCAGGACCTGTCCACAGTTTTCATTTTGTATCAGTATACATACATACAATGGCCCTTCCTCCTGTTCTGCTCCCCCTCAATTCATTACCATCAGGGTCAGACGAGTCAGTGATAATGACATCGTACTGGTTGACCTTGTCACGCAAGAATTCCACACCATCGCCAATGTGGACGTTGACTCTGGGATGCTCGAAGCCAATCGACATGTTGGGCAAGTACTTTTTGGAGACACGAGGGACGGCTTCGTCAATGTCGACAAGAGTGGCTTCCTCGACGCAGTCGTGCTTGACAACTTCACGGAGAACGCCACCATCGCCACCACCAATGACAAGCACCTATACATTTTTTCCATACATAGTTTCATCAGCAACCTTTCTTTCCGGGTTGCTTTTCCTTACGTCCAAGGAAACATCCTGCTTCCTGCTCGTTCTTTCACAATTACCTTCTTGGGGTTAGGGTGCGAGTTCATGGCAAGATGAGTGATCATTTCCTGGTATCTAACCGAACCGACTCACGTGTCAATAGAAGGAAAGTACCGAGAGTCATGTCCATCATAGACTTACGAAAATTCATCGCGCTCGGTGGCCTGGATAACACCGTCAAGAACCAACACGTTGCCATAGTTGGCAGACTGGAAAACCAACACGTCTTGGAACTTGCTCTTCTCAACATGGAGAATCTCCTCGACCTTCAAAGCCATGGCTAGAAACAATGTGCACAGAAAAATATAGAATCATTAGACACAAACACACATGAGGCGATTGACTTTTAAGTTAACCGCGATCTAAAAAAAACGATCGGGTTCACCACGTCATACAAGGTCAAAAAAAGGCGAATTTACCTTGACCAGGCCATTGGGAGTTCTTTTCCATGAACCAACCGTCCTTGATGCTGGGGTGAGTAAGAGGTGCAGCCATTTCGTTTCTCGGTAGATATGTTAAGAAAGAGAGAAAGAGAGAGAAAGAGAGAGAGGGAGGAAGCAAGAGAAATTTTTTTTCACGCTTTTTTTTTTTCTATATAACAAAGCAACTTCACTCTTGCGTGTTGAAGGTTCAAGCGCCGACAACGATGGCAATAAACTGTCAAAAAGAGAGAGACACTCCTCTTCTTCAACCCCCGGCGCACAAACCCGACCTTTTGCATCGCCACATTATTGTACAATGCCCGCTGACGCTTTATGTAAACTGCTGTAGGGATTTTAAAAATAAGACGACTACATTCTGTTCGACTATCAGGAAAAGGTGTTTGACGGATAATAAGTCGCGCGATTTGCCTAATTTAGTGAACCCGATGTATGGGGACGCCGCATAGAAACGCCCGGGTGGCAACGAAAATCGCAAATGGCAGACAACAAATCATTTATTGGGTGCTGGCACTGTCTCTGACAATCTGACTTCGCAACCACTTGTACGGTTCGCCTCTGAAGAGGATTCATGTAGCACAAAAGCCGCACAATGCTGCGCCCAAATTGATCAAACTCTGCTGACAGCAAAGTGTGTACAAATGTACCTACATGCTAGCTTTACAGTCAGCCGCACCGCTTTTTTACACCCTCAAATGAAAACAACCTATTTTCGAACTCGTTGATGACAGTTTGCTGTTAAAGTAGTGCTCTTGATTACTGCAAAGTCGCCATGTGTGTACCCTTGTCAATGGGAGTTTTGGATAAGCAAAAAAACAGGGTGCTAAGTATACTAAACGCTGATATATCGGACCAAGTCATGAAGATAGCCTCAAGTACCACAACACGCATAAACTATAATAGCGTCTGATTTAATTGTAAGGAGGTGCTATCAATGTCTTTATTCTGGAGCTACGTTCCAGGGTAAACCTTCGGTCAGAGTCCACTCGGCCCTACGCTAATCTTCCATTCCATAGTTATTGAATCAGCTTATCCTAAGGTTTGTTAGGAAGTTCAGATCCTTACAAATGAAACGTGCAGTTCTATCGAAAAGGACATAATCAAGCGATAACCGATCTTTCCGCATGGAAGTCACCGCACGGAGTATACTATTCGGCACAGCATCACATGGATTAACCCATGTGTAGCTTTATGCTGTAATCGAAGAATCATAGCGACAATACAGGAAAGTTTCGAAGGCAATAGTTGCAGTGGACCTGTCAACAACTATTTACCTGTGTCACTGGTGCCCGTATTTGTCTCTTAGCTCGTGATAATTATGATACAGTAGTATGACGGTCTGATAGTGTGTCATGTATGGAAGATATACATACTCAAGTTTATGTAATAGCTTGGTTTCCACCTCAGGTTTTAAAAATACAACTACAGCGAGAGCGTTACTTTGCCCAAACATTTACATTTATGCAAAATTAATTTTATTGCTATTCAAATACACTGAATTCATCTTCTAGTGATGGATCGTCTATTACGGAACTGTTTGTAGTGGCAGTAGTTGGTGTTATTGTAACTGCTAGATCATTTGCCCCGGCTGATACTACCATGGACTTGTTTTTTTCTCGTTGGGTATGACGACGACCACGGCGACGACGTTGAAAATCCTGCAATTTTTGATCGTTTGCCAATGGAGGTAATCGCGTCCGTTGACATGCAGCACATATCGATTCACACTTCCAACACCGTTCAAAAGAATGCAAACATGCCCAACACTGTGCTTCTTTTGATACAATATTATAACACGCTTCCGATATGGATACGCCTTCCATCGCTTCTTCCAATGATCTTTGCTGCTCCTGTTGCCTTGCATCTCCATCACCATTGCTACTCGTAGTAGTAGTAGTAGTAGTAGTAGGCACATAACATCTCCGAATATCCAGATGCACAGGAAACTTTGATATCCGATTGAGGGTCTTTTGGAATGCGTCGAGATGTGGTTCGGTATTGAAATAATAGTGGTATATGTTGACTCGCTCCAACGGAATGGAGTGTGGTTTCAAGGTGCCGTTCTTGAGTAGTTCTTGCAAAACTTTCGTATCTGCTTCAACATTGGTGCTGAATCGACGATAGCGGGCACTAAGATGGCGTAGCTCAGGGAATTTGACAAACATGATGATAAATGATATGTTGGCGTCGTCGTTACCGTCCATGATGACCTATGAAGATAAAGCAAAAAAGTTACATAGACTGGATGCTATTTCGTAGGACACTAGAAAGGCAAACAATGCCCCCTTGTCCTCCTCTTATTAAAAAATAGATTCTGTACCTCTTGGACAAGCGACCTTAAACCGTTCGAGTCTCGAAACCGTCGTAAGCCGGCATAAAGTTGTGTATGGTTACAGTACTTGAGATCGATCACAATCCGTCGCCAGACCTGTCGGATCGCGAGTAAATGGTACCGATAAAAGCGGCAAGTGTCGGCCAAATTCCATAGCGTGCAGAGATCCAGATGGGTGGCAATGGAGGATATAATGTCAATAGGGTATTCGGTCAATGGTGTTGTTGTTGTTGTTGCCTTGCTTACTAATACATTCGTTGCCATTAGTACAGAAGGAGATCCAAAAAAAAGAAAGGTTGTCAAAATTGTATGTGGAAAGAGAGGCGAACAAAAATAGGAATTACTGAGCCGGAGTTTTTCAAAGAGCTGCAATCCATCTGTTGCTATGAGTTTCTGTTGCTTATTCATAAACCTATTGTTTGTCCCTAGAAATAGAGACGAAATAAGTGAGCCGATAGTGTAAATACTCCACACAACCGTAAATACGGAAACAGCACAGTGGAATGAAGTTACTGCAAACTTTCTATGATAAAAAATTGCAAAATGACCATTTTGAATTTGATTCTAGACAATGATAGATCGGATGCCCTCTCTCTCTCTCTCTCTCTTCCCCCCTTCTATCATTCTAGTTTATCGTATTTCCTAAATGTATTTGCAATCACACACATTCGCAACACTATGAGTCTTGTTTTTAGACGTTAAGAAAATTGTTTCTCATTTAACGTAGGAGGATGAAGCCTCGGTTAATTGATTCTACCGACACAGCCAAAAGGGGCGCGTACAGAGGAAATAGATTAGCTCCGCCTACCTCGCTTCACCTTTTTCTGTGGCCCCAACCTACTACACGAACACACAATAATACACCATGACTCGATGGTCAGGGTGCTTATTACTCGCACTCGGTATATTACAGTGGTTAACGCCATCCATTCAGGCCATTTACGAATCTCAAGCAGGTGTCATTGATTGGTAAAAGGAAGCGCTTCTTTTTCTCAAGTTTTGATGCGTGTATAAAAAACGGACGACAAGGAACGCGTACTTTCTTGGGATGCTGATGATTGTCTTTTTCGAACCGAAATGATATGTAGGCATCATGCTTGGGTGGGAAAAACACGTTGGGCACATTCGATCGGCACATCTAGACTGGTCGTTGGTACTGAACGAAATGTAATGGCATCACTCGACACGGAATCCGGTGCTATTGGTAAATAATCTTTGAGGATTTCGTGTTACAACATACAAGTCGTAGAGAAGGGGAAAAAGCCATGTTTGACTTATTCAGACACATCTCTATATCTACTCAGTATGGAGACAAGTTTTGGATCACCCGGTCAAGGAATTTCATGCAACATCATCAGGTAATATATAAGAGGAGAATCTCTATATAAAGAAGAGATAATGCTACTACAATGCTCATAATATTTGAAAATAAACAATTCCAGGTATTCTCACTGTATCTCAGGCGCCACCATCTGTCGCACAGCTCTGGGACGTAACGACCGGTAGACTCGTGTGGGAACGTGCGCTTGGAAAGAGCGCCGCCACTGCCATGATTGCTGCTGAGCAGGAGAGTGGTGATGATAGTGTCATCATTGCTTCCAGCAATGGTAAACTTGTACGCCTATCCAGTGCTAGCGGCCGACCATTATGGAACATGGATCTCCCAAATAGGTAACAGGCTAGAAGCCATCTGAACAAGGAAGTTTGCCAGATCAAACGGGATCATAGGATTATAAAAGTACTAACTCCTTGGGGGGGTGTGGGTATGGTTTATCGAATATGACTCTTTTTGGGAATTGACCGTGGTAATACATATGATAGTGATGTGAATGTCATTGCAGTACAAAAACGTGACCAAACTGTGTACGTCGTTGAACAAACCGAGGGGCGTACGTCTTTGACTGTGTCCACATTCCGTTATGACACAGGCGAGCGATTGAATACGATCAAACATTCCGTATCGGCGACAACGACAGATAACGTATTGGTTCTGGGCCCCTATCTCGTTTGGACGGAGAAGGATACTGTGAAATGGAATGAACTCGGCTCAAAGAAGGTTCAAAAGGCTACTGTATCTGTAAGTAGTTGATCCACACACACACACGGAAGCAGAGATGTTCTGAATGACACACACGTATTTGTTGAAAACCAATCTCACGTTGCATCTATTCAGACTTTGGTTGGATCACTTAAATCGTTCACTCAAGCTGAACCACAGACTGTCGCGCTTGCACCGGGTGATTCCGAGAGTATCTTGCTTCTATCCGCATACAATTTGGGTCAGGACCGTTTGACTGTATCATCTGCAGCCTTGCAAATTCAGGCAAAGAGCATTGAATTGATTCAAGACTTGGGTATACAGGTAAAACAGTGGAAGAATGCATTAATTCTAGGAGATGATGCTGTTGTGGGATTTTGGGGGGGGGGGATGCCATAGGGTTATTGTTTTTGCAAATGAAACTAAGAACTTTTATTGGAATACAAAAATTCTAGGATTCTTTTGGCGCCGCAGATGCTTCCGGTACCAGCGGCGTTACGCGGCTCTCAAAACATTCTCAGAGCGAACTTTTGTTTGAAACGATTTCGCGCGAAGAGCACCGAAAGCAGGTCAAGGTGGCCCACGACTTTACGCTGAGTGGCGACGTTGCTTATGGCAAAGTGGCCAGTGTTGATCCATTGCGCGCTTTTGTTGTAACAGAGAGTGGATCGACTTTTATGTATGGTGAACAAGGCGAGTTGAAATGGTCTCGGGACGAAGGAATGGCTCATGCCACGGTGACGGAGTTCCTGGATCTGCCTGAGAAACAGATGACTCAATTGGCAGACGTCGAAGAAGAGGTGCCTGCAGCCGTGAGCCCCTACATCCGTTACTGGCATCGTCTGCAAGCGCATGCCGCCGAGCTGCAGCATCTGCCCGAATGGATCCTGTCACGATACACGCCCTCTAAGTCCAGGGTCAACACACTCACCCATCGACAACACATCCAATCATGCTATAATGGTACGACGACGACGGATCATCTTTACCGCGATAAATTTGGTCTGCGCAAACTGCTTATTACCGCCACCGAGACGGGCCAAGTGATCGTACGAGACTCGGCTAACGGAGGTGCACCTGTATGGAGCCGATATTTCGGCCAAGTTCGTTTTGATCATGTCGTCGTGGTCCGTAGCGTATCTGTCAAACTCCCGCCATTGATTGTTGTCATTGGTCGGTCAGGGGATGGCGTTAGCTATGAAGAGACGCACTTTTACCGCTTGAACGCTCTGACAGGCCAAGACTACGTCGCGACGTCGCTGTCATCCGAAATGCAAGAATTCTTCGATCCTCAACTCGTTACTGAGACGCGCATCGCCAAGGTCATGCGACTGCCTATTGAGGAGCCTGATGAGCACACGCATATCCTCGCGCTCTATGAAGCAGGATCAAGCCGTGTTTATATTTACCCGGACACCGAAGGATCACGCCAGAGCTTCCAGAACTATTTGGATAACTTTTACTTTGTACATCAGCGACAACAAAAGAAGGACAAGGGAGGGGCGTCTGCGTTCAAGGGGTATCAAGTGCTTGAAGGGTATCGTGGCAGCTTGACGGCACAGCCTGTGTGGTCGCTCGATATTCCGCAGGATGAATCCGTGGTGGCTGTTGGTGAGCGCGCCACCGATGAAAAAGTGGCGCTGATCGGGCGGGTGCTAGGCAACCGCAACGTCATGTACAAGTACCTGAACCCACACATGTTTGCTGTCATGACTACCCAGCCTGGACGCAGCACCCTGAAGGTCCGCCTTGTCGACGGCGTCAAGGGCACGGTGCTTTATGAAACTGTGCATCAAAACGTCGATGCGGTCGAAAACCCTGTCCATGTCGTACAAGCCGAAAACTGGATCATCTACCATTTTTGGAGCAACGATAGTCGTAACAAGGGATATCAGGCAGTCGTGTTGGAGCTTTACGAGGGCGAGTATGAAAATGAGCGAATTGCGAGGTAAGGGTCCCCTCTCGTATCTACGATCGGAAAAGGCAAAAAGCTCACTCATCGCTGGTAAAATAGCACAAACTTTTCATCATTCGATAATGTACGACCCTATGTTCAATCATCGGCATACGCTTTCCCCTATGCCGTGGAGGCCATCGGTGTAACGGTAACGCGAAACGGTGTCTCCACTCGGGATATCCTGTGTAAGTTTGTTCTGTTTTATCTTTATTTATTTCCATCAAAGCAAGAAGAAAACCCAACATTAACATGGATGACGCGTCGGACAGTCGGTATTGGATCGAACCAGATTGTGGGCATCAACAAGCGCTTTTTAGACCCACGACGGCCTACAGATAAACCAAGCAAGGAGGAGCAGGAAGAAGGCCTGATACCTTATTCCCCTATCCCGGAAGATCGTCAACTCTTTTTGACTTACTCACTTGAGGTAACGTACCAGGAGCGAAAAAATCATTGCTATCCTATCCTGAAAACTCACACGCGCATCTCTGTTTCTTTTTTCTATTTTCCAGGTATTCGGTATCAAAAAGATCATCACGACACCCACACTCTTGGAATCGACATCAGTCGTGTTCGCCTATGGCCTGGATACCTTTTTCACACAATCGTCACCGAGTCGACGATTTGATGTTCTTAGTGAAGACTTTTCGAAATCTCAGCTCATCATGACGATCGTCGGTCTTGTTGCTGCGATTGCGGTGGCTGGCCCCATGGTCCGTCGGAAGCGAGTGAATGCTCTGTGGAAGTAGATTCAATATACAGCCCTCAACAAAAGAAGAGGGGGATACACGCCCTTTTTTTCCCTCTAAGGTTGATGGATATTTGTAAACTATACTTTCTTCTGTCACTTTAACTTTCTATCACATGAGAATATATATCTTCGTTTTTTTGGGCATACACAACAACGACGATGCAAAACTGTGGATGGATGGTTTTTGCTCAGGGCTTCGGGGAGTACATTCGGAACTGTGCAGACCCCCCAGACAGTCAGTGCAACCGGGGTACATCACACGAAATTCTATTCGTACATGCAGTAGTCAATAAGCATAATCGTGATTAACCGATACATATATATTTGTTATAGATTTTGGCATACGTGCTAACGATGATATCAGTAAATAAGAACAATGGATAAATGAACAAGAAGGGCGTCGTGTGTTGCTAGTGAAAAGGGGATGTATAATGAAATCATGAACAAGAAAAGAAAAGATATTAATAACAAAGGTTTCCCAAAGAGTGGGAAAAGGGAAGTGCTTATAGTGGGTATATATACATACATACGGTTTAGAACAGGGTAACAAGGGTTGAGGGTTGGGGGTTATATGAAGAAAGTTCTTGGATGCAAGGTGAGAGTGTGTGAAAAATCTAGATGTCTGGTCGCTGTTGTTGTTTTACTTGCGTCCTGCACCTCGACTGCGACGACGCTTAAGCACCGATGTTGCAGCAACACCACGATCGGTCACTGCAGCATCACACTCTTCATCCACTTTCCAGTGTCTACGTAGAGCATCGCGCCTAGCAAACCGCCGATCACAATGAGGACACTTGTGGGGTTTGATGCCGCTGTGCAGTAACTGATGTCGTTTCAGATCGTGTGGACGTGCAAACTTCCAAGGACAGCCTGCGGTATCACAAACATAGGGTCGCTCCTTGGTATGTGTGCGCATGTGGGATTTCAAGTTGTAGGGTCGGGTGAATTGCTTCTGGCATTCGTAGCACTGAAAGGTATAATTACCGCCTTCTTGCTGCTGCTGCTGCTGCTGCTGTTGTTGTTGCTTCTTTGTTCTGCGAGGAGGAGTAGCTACGGTGGTGACTGTTTTGGCTTCAAACACATGTTGTTGTGGTGGTGATGGGGCGGCGGTTGTTGACATTACAAATAGCTGTTCGCTATAAGGATGATCTTGTACTTTTTGGCTCGTCGTCGTCATCATGATCGTCTCGTCTTGTTCGGCGGCTGTGGATGTAGAGAGTGGTGGGGATGGAGGAGTTTCGACTTCAAAATAGACTTGTTCACCCACCATGGGTGAAGGTGTAGCGGTAAGGGCTGGAGTAGTGATATAGAATGGCATCGGGCCTACTGTCATCGTCTCCATAGGAGCAAGTGCCATGGAAGCATCTGAATCCAGTGGATAGCATGGTGACATTCCAGGCTCGGTAACATTAGCATGATGGTCCCAATAGTACGCGTCCCAGGATGGCATGGCAGCAGCAGTAGTAGTAGCAGTAGCAGCAGTAGTACTAGTAGTAGCTGTGGCTGGCAGACAAGGTGCTGCTAAGAATTTGGTAAAGGAACCCATGGGCTCTTGTGGTGGAGACATCAGCAGCTGTTGACTGTGGTGTTGCTCTTTGTTATCGAATAGAAGCAGGTCCAGCTCTTCCTGAAAAAGACTACCGTCAAAAGATAGTTGTTGAAAAGGATGATAGTGTTGCATTATGGGGTAATCTTTTAATGATAATAATAATAAAGGCAAGCTTTTGTTTTCGAGATTCAGAAAAGAGGCAACGGAGAAGAAGAAGAAGAAGACGATGCTTTTGGGACAAGAGAATAACAGAGGCTTCCCTTCTCTCGCGTGGATATATATATTCATGATTGACTTGGAGATGCCCTTTTTGGATCAGTCCTTTGAACCTGCCAAAATGGGCGCATGTAACACAATGTTTCTGCTAAGGGAAGCTTTAAACGGAAATCATTCGTGCGGCGCACTTGCCAAAAGCATGCGAGGACTGCGGCCCAATGGGCAGCAAGCAAAGAAGGGAGTGCACTCTCTCTTATGTTTTCCCGTCCTTGCTCTTGCTTGTCGCACATCGCAACAAACCTTAAAAAGAGCTTTGTTCGCTCTTTACTTAACCCCCCCTCCACCCATTCTTTGTTCTTGCATGACGACAGCAACTACGATGATGATAGGTTGTACAATGGCGCGCAGCATGTGATGCTATCCATAACAGAAGCAGTGCTACAGCATTGTTATGAACAACAACCACCGTGAAGCGCTTATTCACAAGTGGTTGCACACACGACGGTACATCCTTTAATCATGCACACACTTGATATGCCATACCGATAGCCCCGGAAAATAATCGTGTACGCCGCGCGAATCATATGCATGGTCGATGTCAGTCCATTGGAGAAAGGGGCCAGATTTTGCATACAGTTTTCCACTAGAGAGCACCGAAGACATACAGCGATACATGATTGCACAGAGTGGTGGTGGCAAAAAGAAGCAGCCCCGGGGTCAGGTAAAAAGACATCAATCTTGACAAGCTGCTAACATCAGCTATGAAACGAAAAATAAATGTTAATTAACAATGGACAAGCGCGCATGACCAGCAAGTTGCTATGATATGCGTCGATAACAGCACTGCCACCGAGAAAATAGCAAATAAACTTTTTTTTCCTCTTGCTCGCAGATCCAAACGAAAAAGGCAACAGGGCGTTCTTTAGCGAACTTAGCTATTGCCGCGTTGTTATGCCCTACAGTCAATGAGGCTGTGGAATAAAAAAATTGGGCGTCAGCCACCTCTGTTTTTGGTTAACTCGCTTATTTTTAAATCTGAAACAGGTTTTTCGCCGGGAAAAGAAAGTAGCAGACATAAAAGGGATTTAGATCTTTACAACAGATATGGAGTGTACTTGTGGAAACCAAATGTGGAATCTAAACTGCGAGACATGAGTGGAAGATAAATCACAGGTTAGAGTAGCATATTAAACTTTTAATCTTCGTCGTGACGCTTCGTACGGTGTTGTATGAATAACGACCCTTGAAAGGTTTCGCCAAGTAAGGGCTCTCAACTGTAGATGCGTTTTTCTTTTCCATCCTTTGTGATCAGCGATGCACTCAACTACATAATTTCACACAAGTCGTACTGTAGTACAGAGAATGTAAAGATGTTGCTTCTACAAGCACAATACATAGTGGATACAAGAGTGACAACGTCAGCCAGTATTATGCTTTCAAAGGTATTTCTTCTTTTGGCGCCCTCTTGGTGACTAATCAAAACTTTGTGTCTCTACAAATTTTACAATGCTCTGTATACATATGTAAAATTGCCAACCATCGTGATTACTAAGATAATAATTAAAAACGGCGGGATGTCCCATATATAGAACGTACAATATCTAGTACAATTGTCAACTACATGTACAACGAAGAAGTTTTTTGTAAACACTGAAGCGCCCGCGCAATACATTTGATGGTATCAGAGAAACACATAATCCAAATTTCGCTCACTAAGAAACATTGAAAAAGAGAAATGTAAAGAGCATGCTTCTACAACGATGTGACAAACGGTGAGAGAGAATTCTAGGTACATTATTGCTACTATACTGTCAATCTACAGAGTTTTGCATCAAGAAAGCAGGCTATGAGATATGAACGTTTTATTAAAAACAAGTAAGAGAGTGTGCTTAAAACAAACAAATTGATCATCGAATACGATCTACGAAACGATTGATCTTGCGCAGTTGTACAGCTTTGAGTTGGTAGGGCCAAGCTTATGGGACATGCACACACGTACCACACGCATTCTATATCATCCATATCGTGGTGAAAGCATACCGCTCTATATATATCTTTGTTGGCACGCACTCAGGCACCCAATGTAAAGAAAAAAGAAATGGCAGTATTGACTTTAAGCAACAATACGCCACATGTTCTGTTGGAACCAAGCTTGTAATACATATATAGTGTAAGTACAGTATACACAAACGTACACTTACATACACATCGAGGACCATATGTAATCTAATGACTGTCCTTTCCATAAATATACTGGACGATTGGATGGGTCATGCATTGGCGTTCTTTGATATGTAGCACGGCCGTCTCTGTATGCATCCATATCAGAACATCACTATCCAATCCGTGATATATTCCATTCCAACAAAAAGGAACAGTGCTTCCACATAGATGCGTTGTAGTTTTATTAGATTCTGGATCACCAACCGAGTCGTAGGCATCCTTGTTCTGTCGCAGCTCACAAACTACCACAGCCTTTCAATCTCAAACGAAAAAAGTAGACCAGGGTTGACCGGCATCTCATACAGTGCATAAAGGTTGTGAACTCATTCAATAAAAACGGTTTCTCACTGTGTTTTATATTGTCTTATTTATCGACAGCCACGTTTATCACACCGTGAGCGTGGTTTAGCTAGTGGGTGTGTCATCGTTAATCTAATCGCTTGGTGACTACATAAATCAAGAAAACATACGCGGTACATTGCTCTCTTGTAGCATGGTTAGAACTGTTTATTTTATAAGAAATAATTAAATATTACGGTATGATAGTTATGTTTTTTATCGGTCGTTGAAAATAGAATCATAAGAACATCCCCAGCGGTTGTGCCAAATCCCATCATATTTTCCCAGCGGTTGTGCCAATTTCGTGTTCCAAAATTAAACTTTGCTGTAAAACTCCTTTTTGACTCTCCCATTTATTTTTATTTGATTCTTCAGAAAAACATGGAAAACCAACTTAAGAGAATGCTCGAAGAAGATGCCAAACGACGCATTCGCCGTCGCTCATTGGCACGTCTCATTGAAACACTCGAAGAAGATTCCGAAGACGAAGAGCAACCAAAACGTAGAGGAGGTTCTGTCGCTGCTCGCAAAACTATCAACCGTAGTCGCGTCGAAGGTCATGATAGACTTTATGCTGACTACTTCTCGGATGATCCAGTGTATCCTGAGAGTCTGTTCAGACGTCGTTTCCGCATGTCCAGGAACGTATTTGACAAGATACTCAAGGGGCTAATAGAAAAGCATTGGTACTTCCCTCAAAAGTACGATGCCGCTTTAAAACCTGGATTGACGCCCTTGCAAAAGGCAACTGCTGCAATCCGACAGCTCGCTTACGGGGTCTCGGCTGACACAGTGGACGAGTATGTTCGCTGCGGTGAAAGTACGGCTCTACAATGCCTGGAGTACTTTTGTGAGGGCGTGATCGAGAACCACGGTGAGGAATACCTTCGAAGTCCAACGAAGGAAGACCTCGACCGTATTTTCAAGAACAGTGAAGGGCGCGGATTTCCCGGCATGATCGGGTCTCTCGACTGCATGCACTGGGAATGGAAGAACTGTCCCTCCGGTTGGAAGGGACAGTATCAAGGCAAGGAGAAGGTCGCTACGATCATTTTGGAAGCCGTGGCCGATTACGAAACATGGATATGGCATGCGCATTTTGGCCTTCCTGGGTCCTTAAACGACATCAATGTCCTCCACCGATCCCCATTGTTCAGCAACACTGCCTCTGATCTTACGCCCGCGATCAAGTTCACTGTGAATGGTCATGAATATGATAAAGGGTATTATTTGGTTGATGGCATTTACCCACCATGGGCAATGTTCGTCAACACAATTTCATACCCGGTCGAGCAAAAGAAGAAGGTAAGAATGATACCATAAAACTCAATGATCCCTTTACTCATCTTATATACAGCTTTTTGCTAGAATGCAAGAAGCTTGGCGTAAGGATGTTGAACGTGCGTTTGGAATCCTGCAAGCAAGATTTGCTGTGATCCAACATCCAGCAAAGCTTTGGGATCTCAACAAGCTGGCCATTATCATGAAGGCATGCATTATCATGCATAATATGATAATTGAGAGTGACCGCGAAGACCGGGATGAAGATGAAGAACGCGAGGAAGTGAGATGTGAAGGGCCTGTACCACTTTGGTAATTGAGAGAAACCCTAACACGATGAGGGAATTTTTCCAACGCTACAGTGAGATCAGAGATGAAGCTGTTCACAAT